ACTGTGTGCTCTCTGTGTGCCCTATATATATATATATATATATATATATATATATATATATATACACACACACACAAATTGTGTCTATATTCTGCGGTCACATCTTAGTTCCAAACTGTCCTTACTTGAATAGGCCTGAATAACGCTCATTAATGGTAAGAGAAGTTATGCAAGAAAACTGAAGGAAAATGTGGGTGAAGATTTTATTTTGAGAACCATTGTGATGAAACCTCTGCCTTAATAACTATGTAAGAAGTAACACAATACAGTGTGTGACTGTTGTGAGAAACCATGCTGTGGGTGAGCACAGGCACACAGTCTGCCAGGACCTGCTGTCATCTCATTATCTCCAAACAGTGATATTCCACTTGGATGCCCGCAAGACGGACTGTTTGTGAGAGGAAAGAGTTAGCAAAGCTGAATAGTTTCATGCTGTGCATGGCACTTGTTGGTCCAGAATTGCAAAGGTTGGAATCTTAGTTTCCCCATTCTAATAATGCTTCTCACCTCTGTGGGAAGATATCAAAGCACTTTGCCAACATTAGGGCTTATGAGGTAGGTGTCCCTATTCCCACTACAAAAGTGCAGAGTCTGATCCTGTAGCATTTATTCACATGAGTAATCCCACTGAACCTAACATTTGGAATAGTTGGCTTCATCTCTGGGTAGGGATGTAAAATCCCGTTTCATTAATTAACCTGCTAATTGTTAATTTTACCGGTTAATCGATTAAACGGGGATGAGCCGCTAGTAGGGAGCTTCTCCAGTTCCCAACAGTTAACCAATTAACTATTAACATTCCAATCTCTGGGCACTACCAGTGGCAAAGATGGTGCAGGCACCTTGCACTGATGCAAATCTCACCCAGGTAGACTTTACCTCTGGTGATCCTGTGCCAAGGTCTGTACTAGAAGACATTTACAGAGCTTGAATGAATCTGGTCCACAGTGCATTAATGAGAGCCTATAAAATGGTATTAATACAAATGTAAACGAAACCCACAGCTATTATGCACATTATAATCAATGGGCAATCAAGAAAACAGAAGAGGGAAGGAGCAAGAAAGAAACTGATTAGAATATTCAGTGGTACTCTTTTTTCTTTAATCATTATCTTAAAATAAACAAGCTACAGGCTTTTCTTTGCCTGCCTGCTCCCAGCAGGGCATTTCACAGCCTAGACATTTCTTAGGTTATCGGCTTCTATGCATATATGACTATTGCCATTCAAAATAACTGGAACTTTTTCAAGGTATAATAACACAATTTCTGCTGAAAACTTCATAAATTCAGACTATAAGCGATCAGATTTGTGTCCAATTCTGGATCCTGCTACCAAGGGCTTCTAGATATTCACAAATCCAAAAGGCCCATGGGCTGTGATTTTATCAGCTCTTATAAGGAAATAGGTTGGATCTGACTAGCACTGTGAGAGGAGACCTCAAAGGACAGAAAAGAGTGAATGGATCACATATTTTGTG